GGCTATTGTAAATAGTGCTGCGATGAACATGGGTGTGCAGATGTCTGTTTTTGTCATGGCTCTCACTTCTTTAGGATATATATCTAATAATAGAATGGCTGGATCAAATGGTATTTCTATTTCCAAATTTTTAAGGAGTTGCCATACTGCTTTCCACAGTGGTTGTGCCATTTTACAGTCCCACCAGCAGTGTATGAGAGTTCCAATCTCTCCACATCCTTGCCAGCATTTGTTATTTTGTGTCCTGTTGAACTTTGCTACCAGTGCTGGAGCAAGATGGTATCTCATTGTTATTTTGATTTGCATCTCTCTAATGGCTAATGATTGTGAGCATTTTTTTTATGTTTGTTGGCTGCCTGGATACCCTCCTTGATGAAGTGTCTATTCATGTCTTCTGCCCATTTTTCAACTGGATTATTTGTCTTTTTGTTATCGAAGTATTGTTGTTTTCTATAAATTCTAGAGATAAGTCCCTAGTCAGACAGCTTCACATGGTTTTCAGTGGCTGCTTTTTTAGAAGCAGACCACCAGGTCTTTCTTGCAAGGCATCTCTGGGTAGACTTGAGCCTCCAATCTTTAGCATTAACCTGTGCATCACCCAGGGACTCCTCCCAGCCCTTACCCCTCTATTTTCCCCTAAAGCACATACTATATCATCTATATTGTGCACATACAAAAATAATATATGTACATAAAGCATCTGACTGCTAACCTGAAGGCTGGTGGTTTAAACCCACCAGCCACTCTTCGAAAGGAAGATTGGGGCAATCTACTTCTGTAGAGACATTGCCTTGCCTTGGAAACCCAAGGAGGGGTCACTATGAGTTGGATAGAACTGACAGTGAGTTTGCCGGGAGGGGAGGGAGGAGGAGGGAGGGACTGGGAGGCAGGGGGGGAGGGAGGGAAAATAAATAACACGCTTACTTCTCTGTGCCAATTACATTCCACAGAGAAAAGACCGGTGATTAATATATCCCAAGTACCCAGAAAAGTGACAAGTACAGAGTAGGCGCTAATGTTTAATGAATGAATTGACAAATCCATTGGAGGCTGAAATTAAATTGGGGGGTGAGGAACCAAAGTACTAATTTTCCAAAGTTTCACTCCTCAAACTTGCAAACCTCCTACATCTCTAACATCCACTTCGCTAGACTTCCAAACAAGCTGACAAAACCACCTAACAAAGCAAAAATAATGCTGGTGAGCGTGCACCACCTCCCGGCATCACCGCGCAGGGCCCTCAAGATGCCATTAAAAGTTTGCGTCATACACTTTGTGCCTGGGTTTCCCGGTAATTCGTTTTTCTCAGGCTGACAGAGCCCAGGCCACCGCAGACTGTTAGGGCGGGGCAAGACCTTCAGCCCCACATCCCGGGAGGAGGCTGAGTGACCTGCGTTGACTCGACCTCTGCGTCACCCGGCCTTTCCCTCCAGAAGGCAACGGCTCCTTCCCGGCCCCACTGCCCCCGGCTCCACGTGGCCACCCCCAATCTCTTCTCCCCATTCCAAACCTCACTCCTCACCTCTCGAGGGCTCGAGGGCGGCTGCCTGGGCATGGCACAGGTGCAGGGCGCCAAAGACACAGGCCACGCCCCGCAAGCCCCTCCGCGTGCTGCTGGGCCGGGCCAGAGGCAGCCCTGGGCAAGAGCGCTCCCAGTCGGCGAGCGGGCGACGCGGTGCTGCAGCGGCCAGGCGGGGGTAGGGCACGAGCAGTAGGAGGAGCAGCGGCGAGGCACGTGACGCGCCGCCGCGGATTACCGGAGCGCGGGGCCGCAGCACCCCTAGACCGCCGGGTAGCGCCGAGAAGCGGGGCGCCGAGGCACAGCGGCCGCCAGGGCTCTCGCACCTGCCCGCGGGCAGTAACAGCAAAAGCCGCTGGCGGCTTGGTGGGCGCTGCGGCCTTTCGCCTGCGTTGGATCCGCTGTCCATCCCAGACAGTCACTGGCCGCGGCGCGCACGCATGGCGCTCGTGCCCGGAACAGGTCACGCGCGGCCCTGACGCGCGACTCTGCCGGCAGGAGCGCGCGTAGGCGGAGGTCCGGGCCCGCCCTTTCCGCCAGGCGGAGCTCCAGACCCGCGCCTGGGACGGAGCGGGGCGGGGCGGGGCGGGGCGGGCGCGTTGGCGGCTTATGGGTGTAGGGGGCCGGCTGCAGACGTCAGACGCGTTCGGACACGCCCGGAACTGAAAGGAGCTACGGCTGTAATAGTTTGCATATTCATTGCAATCGCGTCCCAGAAAGGAAGTTAATTACCCAGGAGCCCTTCAAAGGCCGGTGACAATTACCTGCATCGTCAGCCTGCCCCAGATTTTGCCAATTAACTATCCTTTTCTCAATTCCTCAAAGTGTGGTGGCGCAGTTAATTTTTAGGGAATTAGTAATGAGGCGGAGGGAACGGGGCCTACATTTAAAGGCTAAACTTTAAGAACTTTTTTTTTGTGTATGTGTTAGGGCACCATAGAAATGAGAAGGTTGCAGTCTAGGAACTTAAACGTGGGGCATGAATGCTAAATGAGCTCTACTGGTTCAATAAAAGGATATTTGAAATTACTGATGTTCAGTTCAGTGAACTTTTTGAATGCCTATTGCACCTGTCATAGGTGCTTTGGTACCACAAAGTAACTTTGTGGTACTTAAGGCTATATATCAACTTGGCTTGGCCTGGTTTTGAGTGGCTGGGTAGCTGGATATAGTTATTTCCCATGATGAGACTGGTAATCAACTCCACGTGGAATCTGCTATGAGCAGTTGAGTAGCAGTCTTAGGAATATGGTTTGCTTCTAGTATGTAAGAATATACTTGAGAAAGGTCTTGAGCTTCTTGGCAAATCTGGATCCTACATTTGGCCAAGTCATCAGCAGTCTGCCATGTTGTCTGCTAGTCTTGGGACTGTTTCTGGACTTGAACCTGCAGCCTGCTGTGTTGCTTGCTCATCTTGGGACTGTACTATTTTACTTGTTGCCTTTGGGTTTGTCAGCCTCAGCAGCTAGCAGCTGTCTAAGAGATCCCTCCAGTTCTGGTTGGCTGGCAGCAAGAGGCAGAGCTGAAGCTCAAGATCAAGGGGCATTCACCTAGTCCTTAGAGCTGGCACTTTGAACTTGGACTTCTAGCCTCCTGAAGTGTAAGAGAATAAAATCCTTGTTTGTCAAAGCTACTCATTTGTGATATTTTCTGTTAAAGCAGCACTAGAGAATCAAAATAAGCCCTTTTTTGGTTTTCTAAATTCCCACAGACTAGTTCTGTCTGTTCTTAAACTTCATATAAGTGGAATCATACAAGAAGCATTTTCTTCTAACTTTTCTCTGCCTTGTGTCTGACTCAATATAATATCTGAGAGACTGATCTATATTGCTGTTTGCATCAGCAAATTAGTTACTTTTTATTGCTGAGTAGTATTTCATTGACTACATCACAGTTTAGTTCTCTATTCTCCTATTCATGGTCATTTGATTTGTTTCCAAATGTTGGCTATTATAAATGTGGTAGTTATGTTTGTGTGTCATTTTGGCTGGGCCTGGTTGAGTGGCTGGGCAGCTGGATGTAGTATTCCCCATGATGAGACTGGTAATCAACTCCATGGTGGAATCTACTATGAGCAGCTGAGTAGCTGCCTTTGGATATGTGCTCTGCTTCCTGTATATAAGGAGAAATCTTGGGAATGGCCTCTAGCCTATGGCACACTTGGACCCTGCATGTAGCCATGTTGTTGCTCAGCAGCCTGCTATGCTCAGCTGACCTTGGAAATTACAATGGACTTAAATTAATGGCCTGCTGTGTGGGTTGGTAACATCAGAACTGTGCCTTTTTACTTGTCAATCTTGGTGCTTCTCAGCCTCAGCAGCCAGCGGCTGTCTGAGTGAAGAAACACCTCTAGCTCCAGTGGGCCAGGAGCAGGAGGCAGAGCTGGACCCCAAGGTTGAGGGGCTTTCACCCAGCCCCTACAGACGGGCACTTTGAATTTGGACCTAAAGCCTCCAAACTGTAAGAGAATAAACTCCTGTTTGTTAAGGCCATCCCATCCCATTTGTGGTATATTTCTTGTCAGAGCAGCACTAGGTAACCAGAACAATAAATAAGGGTTAAGGCATTCGGCTGCTAACCAAAAGGTCAATGGTTCAAATCCACTAGCTGCTCCATGGGAGAAAAATGGGCAGTCTGCTTCCATAAAGATTTACAACCTTGGAAACTCTATGGGGCAGTTCTATTTTGTCCTATAGGGTTGCTATGAGTCAAAATCAACTTGATGGCAGTGGGTATAAATAACAGTGTTATTCTTGTATAAGTCTTTGTGTGGACATGTTTTTAATTCCTTGGCAAAACGCCCAGGAGTTGGATTGCTGGAGCGTCTGGGTTTTTTTTTTTTATTTTTTAAATCAGTTGCTGTCGAGTTGACTGTGACTCAAGGCAACTCCGTTCTGTTGTGGAGCTAGTTAGTTCTTTAAAATATGGCTGAAAGCAAAAATTATAACATTTTCTGATGGTGTTTTCAATGTTTATAGATGTAATGTATAAAATAGCTACTAAATAAAGGGACAAGGATAAAGAGCCTTATATGCTAGTAGAGTTTCTACATTGAATTTGAAGTGGGAAAATATTGATTCTAAGTAGATTTAGAAAAATTAAGCATGTGTATTTTAATCCCCATGTTGTTGTTGTTGTTATGTGCCGTCGAGTCAGCCCCGACTCATAGTGACCCCTCCTTGTAGTATCCCATAAACACACTATACAAAAAGATATGGACAAAAACAGTAAAAAAAATTAAGATAGAATACTAAAAAATGTTGAAATAACCCAAAAGGAGACCAGAAATGGAAAATAAAAGGACAAAAAACAGAGCAAGCAAACTGAAACAAACAATAAAATGATAAACTGAAATCCAAATATTGAACAAATACATTAACTATAAATAGTCTAAACCATTAAAAAAAAAGTTACTGTGTTTTCAGTGAAGGTTTACATGACAGTTTAGTTTCCCATTCAACAATTTCTACACAAGTTGTTTAGTGACATTGGTTACATTCTTTACAATATATGAACATTGTCATTATTTTCTTTCTGGTTCCATTCGTCTAGTTTCCCTGCCCCCTTACATTCTCATCTTTATTAAGTAATTGTTGGCAATAATTTAGTCTCATGTATGTGATTTTTTTAAGGAGCACAATGATATTATTTTGTGATATTACAAGTGATATCTATTATTTTGTAATCCAGTTTGTTATTTAACTACAGGGTGACCTCTGAGGTTAGTTTTGGCTCAAGGTTTGAGGAGTATCTCAGAGCAGTAGTCTTGGAGTGTCCTCCAATCCCAACCAGTCTAGCAGATCTTTTTTTTTTTTTTTTTAATTTAGGAATTTGAGGATCTGTTGTACATTTTTCTCCCATTCTATCAGGGTCCTTCTATTGTGATCCTAACCAGAAGGTTGGTAATAGTAGCTGAGCATCATCTAGTTCTGGTGTCAGGGGAGATGAGGCTGTGGTTTGTGCAGACTATTTGTCCTATAGACTATTTTCTTTTTTGGTTTCTTGCTTTCTGTTTTGCTCTGGATGAGTAGAGACCAATATTTGTATCCTAGATGCCCTCTCACAAGCTTTTAAGACCCCAGATACAACTCACCAAGCTAGAATGTAGAACATGAAGTTTATAAACTACATTATACCACTTGACCAGAATGTCCCACGAGACTATGGTCCTAACCAAGAAATCCTTCAAATACAGAAATCCAATCTCACAAAGTGTTTGGTTACGTCTAAGAAGTATCTGTCACTGTACCCCCTATTGCTTTATTATATTCTGTATTGCTTTATTATTGTATATATAATAGTATTATTTAATAATAACAAATATGATTTATCATTAGTAAATATAATATTTAAATAAAATTTAAATAGAATAAAATAATTTTAAAATAATATTATTATGTACTGTTATCACTATTGCTTTATTATATTATTATACATATTATACACATGCATCCAGTCACATAGATGTATATATATATATATATATATATATACATACATATGCATTCACCAATTTCTTTTTTTTTTTTACAACTCTTAAAAAATGTAAAAAACATTCTTAGCTCATGGGCTGTACAAAAATAGATGGTGTGCTGGTATTGACACATGGTAGTTTGCCACCGTCTGGTCTAAATATACCAATTAAAAGAGATTATCAGAATTAATTAAGAAGAGAAAAAGAAAGCATAGCTTGACTATATGCTGTCTACAAAAAATTCACTTCAAATATAATGATACCAAACCAAACCCAATGCCATTGAATCACTTCCAACTCATAGTGACCTCCATTGGGTTTCCAAGGTGGTAAATCTTTATGGACATCAATTGCCTCATCTTCCTCTTGTGGAGCACCTGGTGGGTTTGAACCACCAACCTCCTGATTAGCAGCCAAATGTCTTACCCACTACTCCAGCAAAACCCATTGCCATTAAGTTGATTCTGACGTATAGTGATCCACATTGCTTTTCCAAGGCAGTAAATCTTTAGATTTAGATTGCCCCATCTTCCTTCTGCAGAGCGGCTGGTGGGTTTGAACTGTCAACCTTCTGGTTGACAGTCGAATGCCTTAGGCACTGTGTCACCAGAGTTCTTGAATATAATGAAAGAGGTATGTTAAAGGTAAAGGTGAGGAAAGAAGGGATGTGTCTCCTTCACTCACCTGCAGAGATGGACATTTTCATAAAATTCCTTCTAATCACACTGACATGAGAAATTGAAGAAATACAAAGAATTCTTCCTGCATCTTCCTTCCTCTTTCTTTATGTGGAAGTCAGATTTCTGGCAACTTCAGAGTTTGAGAACAAAGCTTTGAAACTGGAAGTTAAGGATGTCTCTAAGTATCATCAGCAACTGACAAAATCTGAGCTCTTTATGTCACAGTAAGGTCTTTAGACATTCATTCTGAGTTTA